GTTAGTTAGTTAGTTATTGGTATTATTTATGTGATATATGTTTCACATTTAACAGCTACAGCACGGAGCAAAATCAGAAATTGGTGATAATGGATACATTTTGTGGTTTAATAGTTACAGCACGGAGCAAAATCACAAATTGGTGATAATGGATACATTTTGTGAACTTTTATAGTGAAAACGGGTGGCCGTTTCCATTTTCAGTCACATTTATTGAAGAACGTCACTGAATTTTACAAGTCCTTAGACCTCAGTCTAAAAATTGGTCCTTTCTTAATTTTACCCTTGAGGCCTTCATTAGTGCAATATTAAACCAATCATAACCCCTGGTGTCGTAATACCAAACATCGATCATCAGTTCAGCGAAAGACTTTTTAAGAACTGTGCCGTCAATCCAGATACTCTTCTGTGCGTCACAGATTAGATGCAGCGCATTGCATCACTGAACTGTTAACTCGAGAGTTAATGTCTGACCAGAAACTCCAAAACATGGGGGGGTTTCAATTCCTATTTCCATGCTGTAAATGTTGAAATATGATTACGCTACGCAGCATTCAGTTTCCAGTGGGACACCAGAGGTTACGTCTCTCGAAGTACAACAGATTAAACAAATTCATAACTCAATAAACACTTCTAAATGATTTGTTGTGCAAAATTATAAAATAAAAAGCTAACGAACTTCAAAATATTTCGATGACAAAATTAATTAAATCACAATCATGTAATAAGACAATTTTTTGTTATATTATTATAACGAAAATACCAGAAACATCATTGAATTTTACTGTTAAACAAGTTTTTGAAAGAAATTATTATTACGCCCGCTATCCTTCAAACGCTCGGATATGGCGCGGACAGCAAGAAGTCAAAATTGATAATTACACAGTTTTTAATTGACGTCTTCTTAAGCTTTGGCTCTGGTCTGTTCCAATTCAGAATTAAGATCTGAAACTATGAATTGTTTAAAGAAATTTTGGTAGGACTCCCCCAAATGGAAGGATCACGTCTCAAGTTGTACTCAATCCCGCGACACGAGCATTCAAATGGTCTGAAGACTGTCGGATTGATTATAAAAGAAGAAGAAGAAGTGTTTTATATAAAATTTTAAGGTTATGTTCGTAATCTCAAGGCTGACAGCGAAATATGAATATTGTGCACAGGCCATGTTTTTTCCCAATTCAGAAATTAAAAAATTTTGATGATGTTGATGAAATAAAATTACGAAGTAGTAGGATGGCCTCTAGTGACATTCATACTAAATTTCGTTTAGTTCCATCAATCATTTAAAAAAATTATTTTGGAACTCGGCACGCGGACACCGACGATCCTTCTCCGTAAGATGGACAAAATTAAATAAATGAAGCAGATCTCACATAATTCCTCCGAAAATTATACATAAAACATTTCCCATCATAGATAAATTTATTTTAGTAGTTTTTGGTTCTTGAAAATAATGCACAAAAAGAAATTTTGCTAAATTTCAATAACCTCATATTAAGTTTCGTAAAATTAACAGTACTTCGTATACCAAACCTAATTATTGTAGACTGCATTTTCAAACATTAAAGAATATTCACAATTTTCGGACACACTGTATAATTATATATTTTTAACACATATTCACCATTTAGCATTTACAATGAATCGAGAGTCTTTCTAAAAAAAATCTTTTGCGTCTAAATACACTTAAAACATGACGGCTGCACTAACAGTGTTTATAGTTTATCTGCACGATTAAATGAATTCACAGCTAATCTTTGGCTTCGATATTTCCTTACACTTCACTAGTGGCCTCAACCCCAGGAGAGTGCTCATTAAGGAATTGCACATTTTTCATCTCGCTCATTACACTTTGAAGGTAAGGAATTCCTTAAATTGGCCACTTCATATTATTATTTACATAGAAAAGTCATTAGAAGATGATTTCATCGAAATCCTGCCAGTAAAATTGAATTTCTCGTGTGATATTTAATATATTAAAATAGCATAAAGATGAATTACGTTAATTATTTTAAATGACGTAAAAAATTCTCATTTTATTATTATCCGGGTCCAAGATAATTTCCTTAAGGAATTATGTAACAACATTAATAAATGTTATCATAAATATTAAAATTACGACCGTGGAACACAGAATTCTACTTTAGTCATTCTTTGTGGACGCACGTTTTATCGTCATAACGAAAGACGACAGATACCTTCAATTTACGTAAAATGACTTATTTTGTTCCGGAACGTGAGAAAACTGAGCTAGTAGGGACTGATCGTTGGACGGATGGCCGGACAGACGAACCAAAGGACGGAAACACAAAAAAAAAAACTGGTACAGCGCCGTAAATATTACGAAACATCGCATTTTATTTCCATCGGCGGACGGCAGGATCTCGGGGTTTCATCTCAACATGACTTTTCAATGAATCAAAGATTAAGTACAAAACTACCGAGTAACAAATATAATTAATCGGACCAGAATCCTAATTTTTACGGGACTTTGGTCTTACGATACGCAATGCATATATAAATAACCAGCTCACTTACTAATTAATACGTTCATATAAAATTATGTTTCTATTTAACATTACCATATGTAATCTTGAGTACGCAAATAACGCAAAGGAATATATATTTTTTTTTACTAAAAATCAAATTTGGTACGTAAAGACGAGAATTGCCGTGGTGTTTCAATGTTGCCTTCGACCCCATAACACCACTGCTTAAAACATATCAAATTAATTGAATAATCAGCTATTCAGCGATCATTTACGTAATTTCTACGATATTTAGACCGCGGTTCCGAAAGGTCATTCTGCGTCGGAAATTCGACGTCATTTCTACAACTTCTACACAAAATAATGACATCTGTCCTTTATAGCTTAAAATAATTACTAACAGACGTCATACAACAATATTTTTTTTAAAAAAATGGCAACGCTGTCAAAACACGTCTCAAAATTATCGTACAGAGGCGGCTATTTCCTTTACGAACTTAGATCTCGTATTTATTGTCTAATAGACAACTTAATAGTAGACTTCTTAGGAATGTAATGGTAACATCGAAAACGGACTATACAAACTACGACCACAATGTGGCGACGTGGAAGAACTTTATTGGGAACCTATTATCGTACGATGAGGCAGATCACTAGAAATTAACTACGTCATAGGACACTTCCTATATCTGCGTTGTCGTTTTACGCAAAATATCTTAGCACCTGCATAATTACCGCTTCTAGCGAGATATTTTAACGAAGAAAAAGATTCCGGGACCCTGTTCCGGAAGTGTGGATTCTAATTTCACTGTTTATTACGTGAATTAAAATTATAATTTTGAGAGAATTTAATTACCAGTATTGGGACTAAGAATTTTCGTACAAAACACGAAACCGAGAGGAAATATAACAAAATTTAAAGCCTCCATTTCAAAATTCATGATGACAGAAGGAGAATCATATATTTGTGCTACGTCTTAAATGAAAATACTGCAAACTAAAGGAATTCAAGACTACGACTTTCTGTATCAAAATATGACGAGAGTATTTAATCTTGTCAGTCTGGACCTTCTAAAATTTGACATCGTTAAACCCTTTATAGGATTAAAAATTTACTTAGAAGTTACTGACGCAAAGTTTTAACGATAAATGCCGTACTTAAAAGTAATTTTGGCACACGAATACCAACTGATACAAAATTACATTTGCATAACAACACAGCAAAAAAAAATGTTTAATTATGGCGATGAAATGTTTCTAAACCAAAAAGAAGCTCGCGATTTCACGGAAGCATTTTTTATAGTACGCCGTTGGGCTCCACTGGACCACATCAGAAAAAGAAATGTCGACTTCAGAGAAAGAGTGAAAGTTGCAAAATGTTACTCCTGTCTTAAAGCTTTTTAGAGTTAAATCTAGAATTTTGGTTTTTTTGGGGGGGTCGAGTCACATCAGATTTTCAAAATTATCCAACATTTCATCAAAAATTTACGACCTTCGACACGGCTCATCCCCGGAATCTGACGTCGCACTCTGTACGTCAGAGAAACAGGAATACCAACAAAATAGAAAGAAACTGCCTTCTACAATTGGCGCTTCATTACCAACTGAAAGGACGTGAAAACTTGAGGATTACAAAAATTCTGATGGAGACGACGAGAGAGAAAGGGACCTCGGCACAGACACGAAGAAAATATTAAAATGGATCATAAACAATGTGGGGGGTGTGAACTGGATTCATCTGGCTCAGAGTCCAGTAGTAGCTGGGGAATTTGACTAGTTGAGCGACTATAAGCTTCTCAAAAAAAAAAAGGACTCTGCATGAAACTCTTTATCAAATACGTTCAGTTCTTTAAAACACGCAATTCAGTATTCTGCAATTCTTCATTCTAAATCTGCGTAGATCCTTAAGACCCTACGTAAGAGAAGGGAAAGTCCATCGAGGCCCTTCGCCCTATTTAAAATGTCACTTAATTTCGTAACCAACAAATTCCAAAGCTTCCCCGAGTCGTTATTATCCGTTCACCTGTTAAACCGGTTCATAACATACGATCCACTTTAACGTAATCCTCCAAAGCTTTCTCTTAAGGTAAAGGTTTGACTCCAGATTTATTCGTGAACAAATGACCGAGCGAGGGAATTTGCTTATAGCGGAGAGAGGAAGACAAAGTTTGGTCAAGATTATTTAATACAGGTTTCGTAAGGAAAGTTCAAATTACCGATGTGATCTCTCAAAATTTGGGATTTTTTTAGCGGTCGTCACGAATAAAGCCTAATTCTGCGTGCGTGAAACTTCACTCGATCAATTCATTCGACTGTTCTAATAACCTCTAAGATATTTAAAGATCTGGAAGCATTAACGCTACGAACGGAGTATAAATGCGTAATTAAGAATCTGGAACCACGATGCTCTGTGGATTGCGGCAAATCGTGAGTACGTCATAATCTCTGACAGCAGCGATCACTGCCTTGAAAGCAGCAGCTAAAGCAGCTGTTCGATGACGGGATGTAAGAGACACATGTGCTCCGCCCCACGGATTGGCAGTCTGTTCACCGTGTAGTGGCGAATCATCTCTGGAATATTCTCGAAAGGTTTGCTGAACTGACCTAAAATGAATTTCCCAGTTTCTGGACACTGCTGGATTCTCATGTGCATAAAACCACGCGCACTCCTGCAAACAAAGACAACATTTTTTATGAAATCAATCAATTAAGGATTCTGCTCTGATCAGGGGGTTAAGGACGTTAACAGCGTAACGGTGTTTCCCCACAAAAATTCTGCGCACATTCCTTGAATATCATTAAAAGAGATAAAATTATCCGGTGAGATTTCAGGGACCTTATCATAGACGCACGGAACACGTCTAAAATGTTTGTAAACTTCTACCAGAGTACACAATGAAACATTCCGAAAAAGACTTTGATCCTCAGGAAAATTATTATTTGAAATATTTTTGATGACGGCGTGTCATTTTATTGGAACATGTTTGACATTTTTGCTCATCTGTTACGTATTAAAAACACATCCCTGTAGTGCGGATTTTTCGTTGGTTTTGATCTATAGACATTTCGGTAGGACTCCTTAGATGAGGGATCGGCCCGTCGCAAGGCCTCTACCTGTACACAGGACAGCACAACACTACATCCATGGCTTGAGTGGGATTCGAACCCACGGTCCCAGCGACCACGTGGCCACTGCGAACCCCTTTTACCTAATATATGATAAAATCGTCCAAGAATATGCTTGATTTTACGAAAACGTTCCATTGCACACATCCGTAGTAATTGAAACACTGCGATATTTACGGTGAATCAGAAATCAAGCACCACGGGCTTAATCTGTTAACAGAACTTAGTCTAATCTGTTAAAAAAATCTAATTTAACAGGTTGTTAAGTTAAAAGATGATTTTCATTGAATTGAAATAATCGCGATTTCACTTCACAACGTGAAACAAAAATGAATTAATTTCTAAAAAATAACATTTCTGATGGTAGCATCTAGTAAAATTCGTAACAAAAAAACATGCAATTTATTTTTGTATCGTTTGTAGACGAAAGGACACTTTATCATGATACATCAATGGGCAAATTTCCTTCACTCACTTGAGAGACAACGAGTAGTCCTGCCGCGTGGATTCGCTGTTGCGGACGAGGTAGCTGCCTTCCCTCAGGAGACGCAAGACATTTTCGGCCTCAACCCTCGTGATGGCACCATGGTACCACCTGCAACACATGGGGGATGCAGTTGGCAGTCTGAAATTCTTCAACACGTTTCCCGCAAATAAATTACGAATTATTCCAAAGACGACTAATGGGTTTGTAGATATCACCTCCATCCACATTTCTCCTAGAGCCAGTTTAATAAAAAAAATCCGTCACGCGCATGCGCGATGGCGCGAATTTTAAATATACATACCAACTTTGAGCAATTTTTTTCGCACCCTTGCACAGCGTATCAGCAGCTGAAATTTTGTGTACAATCATTACTAGATGGTCTCTGTAGACGAGCAAAATTTCAGGTGAGAATATTCCTCGACTCTCTCTCTTCGTTTGTCTCCTAAGTTGGTTTGTCGTGGCGACAGGACATCGAACTTCATAATCCGTTTCCAGCACATCCTTTTTAAGGGAAATTCTGCAGCAGTTGGCAGGATTGTTGTACTTACCCCTGGCGTTCCAGTGGGAGTTGCACATCAACAGAGTCTACTCGGGCAGATATGAAAGATGTTCCTCCAAGATTTAAAGACAGGCCAAGTCTCTGTTTGGGCGATGACGCAGTTTCTAGATTCAACGTGAGGGTAGGCCTGATGGGGGCTACTGTAACATGAACCGACCAACACCATTAGTCAGAATCAAAGGCTGGAAAGAAATCCGCGCGCAACCTCTCCGTAGTTCGATTCCTTGTTAACAAAAATAAATCTAAAATATACAACATATGCCCTGCGACGTTTGGTTTTCGTATTACGTCACCGTCAATGGCGTAAGCCTTCAAACGATCAGACCATGGGCGCCCTCTGTCCACCATTTCACGGCAGACAGCAGCGCACCGCACGGCATTCTCCCAAGACATTGTCCCCGATGATGAGAGCCCAAACGTTGACACGAGTACACGTAACAAGGCGAATTATAATTCATCGTAACAAATAACATAGCAGGGAATTGTGTACCATGAAAAGTGAAAGTCGCTAGACACATGTATAATATTTTCGACTTTATTTTTAACAAGGAATTTCGTGTTACTCTGAAGAGCACAAGCGACCCTGGAAGACCGATCGCTTGCTCTGACATACGTGGAGGATGGGGGAAGCTGTCAAGGTCATCACGTACCGTGTCAAACTTTGAGCTCTACTCGCAGCTATCTACACCCGTGTTTGTGATCGTCCCAGAGTGACTGATCACCCCCGCGTGCGAGCCGAACACGACACACAACGGGGTCGCCATGTTGGAGGAGTGACGTAAACCGAGAACGTATCAATCATTCGATAAGGGGAAACTTTTACACGTTCAAGTTCAGACGTCAAACAATTTCTATGTGTGTATTCATCCATAACATAAAACAATATGAACAGTAATCATTTTCTATGCCGGTATTTCAGGTTTGAAATACGTTCGAGAAGGCGAAGGGGTTGCCTAAACTGTGTCACTGTACCACATTCAGCAGGCCAGTTGTTGGGATTCGCCACAGAGCACGTATCAACGCGCACTCAGCCATTCAGCTATCAAATACGTATCTTCAAAAAACATTGTCCAATATCGAAAGAAGTCTATCATTTCCGGGAAGTTCCACATAGTTTAACTACGTCGTAACGCACTAGGGCATTGCAGAGTGTCGAATCACGTGTTTATCCATCTGAAGCCGAGGCTGGGCTCTTTGATATTTATTAATACAGCCCGTACCACAAAGAAAACAACTCTTCACTGGTGTGACCTTGATTAAGAAAATAATCGCAGTTTACATTGAAAAATCATACGAATAAATTTCACTCCGTGTGCAAATTAGAGTTTCCGATTATTAAAGCAGGTGGTACGTACAGTTACCACTGGGTTTTAAAGGATTAAACTGTTGGTTCAGAATTTACAGTTTAAATATGGAGGCCATACCATATTATGTTCCTAAACTTCTTCTAGGTTGTAGCTCCGTGTAGTCTGACAACAGTCAAGGACGTTTCAGAGGTACTTGCTGCCTCCATCATCAGGGCGATAAGTATGTCTTCATTCTCGGCGCTGTGAGAACCTGTATTCCCAACATTAGTAGTTCGTTTTAATTAAGATTATTCGGTTAATTAATGTTTGTATCCTCTTCTTAATTGATTTGGTTATTTTATAACGTTATATCAACTGCTAAATTCTGAAAAGAATGAGAGAAACATCAAGAATCAGTCAGGATGCCCGTTTATTCGCCTGGATTCGAACGTGATACCAGGCGAATGCGAAAAAGTCTGCGCTAACCTGCCCTGTGTACAGTTCTGCAAACTGTTACGCGCAACACATTTTTAATTTGCGTGACGTAATGTCTCTAGTTCATACTATGAATTATATCAACGTTGCGTTCTTTAATGCGGACTATCATTTAACATCGACATTTCTCGCAAATTTAATCACATTCTATCTTACACAACACACATACAGCCAGTCGCTTAGCACAATTTCAAAATACTTTGCAATGTCTGTTGAGTTGCCTATGCATCAGGCGTACGCTCTCTTTCCGTATCCAACCTCAGTTTGTTTGGAAGGCTAAAAGTAATGAACTAATCATTTGTAAGAAAAAGGGGAAGAGAGAGGAAGTGGGGGGAAGGGGAGGGGAACAGAGGGCGAGGCTAAAGAGAGAATGAGGATTTGTTACAGTAGCGCGTTGAATATATTGAACAGGGGGCGAGGACCCAATCAATCTAGCAATTTTACTACCAGCTAATGAGGATCAGGCGTGTTGGTTGGAATAAGAGATTATTTTTAAACCGTAATGACGGTGAATCAGTTGATACATTCCGTTCGCCGATACTCTTCCTGTGATTATTTTACACACCTCACACACGTGGTTTATATTACACTACTAATCGCGTCAGTGTTTCAGCAAAGAGGTATTAATTTAATTTTTTTTTATGCAGAGCGTGTGGTTAAAATCGCCACTGCCCTGAAACGAGAAATGCCCTGCGTTGAACTCACAACGGAGTGGAGAAAAGAACAATGTTATGTTTTGAAAATGTGTTCTTTTTTGTTCTGAAGAGGTCGTCAACACTTGTCTTCGTTTGATGGACACAAATGGATAATTTCAAATCTAATTACATTGCACAGAGCCACAAATTGTTTTTTCGTTTCTCTTTAAATATTCATCGACTCAGAAAATGGTCTTAAACGTCACAAATTTGACGAAATTTGCTATGTTTTTAATATCATTCACGTAACAACAACTTGTCAAGATTCGAGTTTAATTTTATCCAATCTCCGCTTTGTTAGGTCCAAATATTTAACGTCACATCTTTCTCAGACACCCTCAATCTGCGTTTCAGACAAAATGTTATTTAAACACAGAATCCGTGAGATTTATTTCTGGAACTTTTATCAGAAAGGTAACTAACTACTATTCTAGACACACGTTCACGAACAAATATGCTGAAATTTATATCAGTCCAAATTTAGTTTTAAACGACATGTGATAGACGATAACTAATGATTGGTATAATCTAACACGGAGTTGAAGAATAAAATTTTTGGGTTGTAATGGAAACCGAAAGAAAACATAAATTCGGTCTGACAGTTTGTCTCCCTTCCCCCACTGACTGATTGGCCAATACGATAAGTCATGTAACTGGCAACTCTTACAACGAATTGATGGTAACTAATAACAGAGACGTACGAAGTGCCGAAACGTCTGAAAAGACGTGGAGGTTTTCGATAAATGTGTCGTTCGGCGCACAAATTGTGCGTTTTTAAGTGCAAGGAAAATCTCTAGGATACGAACAGTAGTTTCAAATTCCAGCGTGAGTTTTTAAGTGCAAGGAAAATCTCTGGGATACGAACAGTAGTTTCAAATTCCAGTCTTTTACAAAAAACAGTCAATGATAATAAATTTAAAGCAAAAATTAATAAGATTAAATGACACGGTTCATTGGAATATTGGAAAGCAATCTTTAACTAATAACCTGCTTTCTTTGTGACATTTGCTGAAGGAGAGAGATAAACCCGGAAGCATTTCAGAACGAGCCTCGTGGAGGGAATAAATAACAGCGATGCAATCATTCCCCTTTGCGATATTTTGTTCTTTTCATAATTCCCCACTGAAAAGGAAATATGGAAAGAAAAAGTGAGGGTGGAACAAAGGATTCGAAAGCCACTGCTCCACTCGCGAACCATCGCCTGCCCGGATTCATATTCAGAGTTGAATCACGTCACCACTGCCGAGGTCTCGTCGTCCCATCCCAGGGCAAGATGGCGCCGGCGGAAGGGGGGAAGAGTCCGTACACGGGTCGCCGGAATCAGCATTTCGACAAAGCAACCCGAAAGAATATGGTAACAGGCAAACACACATCGGTTCTCGTCGTCTTCCAAAAGAACTTTCCAACGTAGGACATTCAAAAGACTTCTGGATGCCACGAAATCAAAACGAAATGTTCAACACGCGTTTCTCAGTCCTATTTGAAGACATTCCCTGTTTCTCCTGACAACGGGTTGCTTGCTAGTTGAATGGCATATACTCCGTGGGGGAAAGTGCAGTTGTACATTCTTAATGAAAGTGGTACACATAGTTACCACTGGGCTTTAAAGGGTTAATAAAAGAGAATGTCGTGTAATAGTTCTCCACAAACTGGGACACTAAACATTCCCTCCTATTCCCCTCTCTAAGAACTACTTTGCAGTTTAAGCTGCGTACGTGACATCACAGAGACCGCTAAATCCTGCGACCATCATTACGACTTCTGGACTGTTCGTAGCTCAGGCGGTTAGTCACCGGCGGTCAGGGTTTGCGGCCAGGTTAAGTCCACGGACAAAGTGACACTGGGACAGGCGTTTGTCTCCAAGTTCCTCGCATTCCCCCTGTAAATACTAATCCACCTACGCTCCATATTCATTCATGTACCATATGGGGGATGGACAAAGGGTCCAATTACACAAAGACACGGTCTGACCCCATCGCAACAGTAATTATATCGGCCTGACGTGCTGTCAGGAGGAACACGTTTCGAAACCCTGCTCGGGGCTCATAATCTCGGTCCTTACACGAAAATGTCGGAGGATACCACTGTCTGGTTCCACAGCCTTCCCAATCCATGTTTCAGGAACATTCTACTGTTCGATTGGATGCAACCCTCGGGTGACAGACAAGTCGCGGAACGTCCTGATCATCCGAGAGACTATAATTTGTCAAGGAGTCTGTCTGATCCACGAACCCAGTTACGTAACATACGTTAGAGCCGTACGGAAACGCAGATATAAAATGGGGATCGGATGTTTTCATTTTTTGAATGAACAAAAAAGGAAAATAAAGCAGACGGGGTAGAAATCTGCGTAGGAATGAAATCCAGTCCCTTGAGGGAGCACGTCTGTCTACGTACTCTGCAGCAAGTCACCAGCTCGGACGACTTCATTCTGAATTTCGATCTGAGATGCTGTGCCCTGCATCTGTCCCAACCCCGGCAGTGCTCATGTCCACTGGAGCACACATCTCCACTCTTTTCCCTTCGTAAGGAAATACAAGAAAAAATGTATTGCCGAGTCGGTACCGCGGTTATTCCACTCTTTTCCCTTCGTAAGGAAATGCAAGAAATGATGTATTGCCGAGTCGGTACCGCGGTTAGTTATTTTTTTATGTTTATGTGTAACAAATGAACAGCAATGAGCAGATTCCGTGGTGAGAAGCTAGCAGTCGATCAGCTAGTCCAGAAACTCCATCTTCTGTGTAGCCCGAAAGTCCATTACCGTGTTCACAAGAGTACGCCACTGGTTCTTATCCAGATCAGTCCAGACCCTCCCACCAACATCCTTCAATTGTTCCGTTCAATATTATCATTCCATGTACGTCTGATTGCGTCTTCCCAAACAAAACTCTGCATACACTACCCTGAGTTCTGAAAATAAAAAATCTGCGAAAGCGCACGTTTTATTTTCTTATTCCTGGAAGCTAGTGACGTAGGATAAACGCACAAGTTCGCCCCGACCACGGCACAACGCCCTACTGTCCGTCCCGCCGTAAAACACCTGACGACTACTCCATCCGAGACTCCGCTGTTCCACCCAACACGCGCACTTTTCAACGCCACTCGTCACTGTCTCGTGCTGAACGAGACCGAAGCGAGGTTCTTCGTGGCCTGAAGGAAAAACGCAGTGTTTTGACAACAAGCCCTGATTTATGTAAACATTTCCAATTCCCCCCCCCCCCCCCCCTCAAGATAAAACAGCGGGTAACTGTTTGTCAACATTCCGTGCTGTGACGTCGACAGGATGAGATGATGATGATGATGATACACAGCGTCGTTCTTGGCAACAGCCTTGCTCTCTCTCCCCCCTATACAGCGTGGTGCAAAAATCCAGGTCCCCATTTAAATGAGAACGAGAATTAAGCTGTAAGACTGTCTCGATCACTTAAGACCCACTGTCTTTGTCAAAGGCGGACTCGAGGCTCGTGTTTCTACATCGACGACTAAAAACAGCCCGAAAGCAAATGTTCACTTGAGGCGACATACGAAGCCAGACCGAAATACTTCACGCGTACCTGGATAAACCCTTAAAATTCAAATAATGACTTAATGAAAGAAATAAAACCAAATTACAGCACCAAGAAGTGAGCGCAGCGAAAAGGAAATCTCCAGGCGTTCTACACCCACAAAACTTTCTTATCGTAGTCGTTGTAATGCGGGGACCGGATTACACGCGAGTTTTTGGCGTCGGGGTGAAGAGCGAGGTGATAAGAACTGCGCGCGCACATCCACGCTTTAAAATCGCAGAATGCTTCAGTCGCTCTTCAACAGTGGAGCAAGTCGGACGGTCAATTTCTTAGAAATGGCCATCATGCTACCTGGCCGTTCCGTGCACTGACCAGGCCGTGCCGAGTGAACCTATCTACATCACCAAGGAGCCAGAACAGTAGAATCACCTGACGCAACCATCACGGTTTCTGAAATGCAACACTTTTTTCGAACAGAGAGACACGACACTCCAGGAAAGGAGCCAGAGACAGTCACATTCTGGGATCCACGCTTTAAAATCGCAGAATGCTTCAGTCGCTCTTCAACAGTGGAGCAAGTCGGACGGTCAATTTCTTAGAAATGGCCATCATGCTACCTGGCCGTTCCGTGCACTGACCAGGCCGTGCCGAGTGAACCTATCTACATCACCAAGGAGCCAGAGACAGTCACATTCTGGGCCTTGCCGAGTACCTAGTGAGAGCAGGGGTTTTCGTTACCTGAAGAGGCAGGACGGTCGGCGTCTCGGACACTCTGACTAGACGACGCCTGGGACACGCCGCTTGATTCTGTGCTCGTCTGCGCCTGCTGTTGTGCGGGGGGCTGACCCCGCAGGCGTCTTCGTAGTTTTGGCATGTCAAAGGGCAGATCGTGGAGATCTACGGACGTGGCACTCCCCGACGTGCAGTTGTCTTGCTGAAGAAGCCTACGCCGCCTCAGTTTCGGCATGTCGAAAGGCAGATCCGAGAAATCTGCTGTTTGTAGCTCGTTGTCAGCTGGGACGTTGTTGTCCGCGCTGTTCGTTTGCTTGGCGAAGGAGAAACCCGTCAGATTGTAAACTTTCGTGCACTTGGTACCGCCACGCGATTCTATGGAGATGCCGCTGTCCGAACCCTGGATTTCAGCGTCTCCGGACGACGATGACTGCTGTTGTTGCTGCTGCAAAGTCAGGTTGATGAGGTTTTTATTTTGCGGGGTACGACGTTTAAGCTTCATACCATTTGGCTGCGAATCTGCAGACAACGGTGACGTAATCTGATCTGTGTCTTCAGGAGACGCCTTCTGCGAATTGTTGTTACGGTTGTTATCGGAAGTTTCTGAAACGGGTTCCTGTGAAGATTTGTCCGATATCGGCGAAAGGATGTGGAGTTTGTTATTCTGGTGGGAAAAGAACCGTCCCCCGGACACGACCCCCAGAGGCGTACCGGCCCCTGGACACTGGTGATGATGATGGTGATGATGGTAGTAGTGGTGAAGGTGGTGTGGGTTGCCAGAAGGACCTCCATTACTACCACCGCAGCCTCCTCCACTGCTCGCTGAATCCGAGCTGTGGGAACTCAAGGAACTGCTCCGGCGACTCTCGGAACTGGTGGTACTGCGGTTTCCTTCACTTGTGCTGCTCCGGATCGACTCCAGGCTCCCTCCACTGCTGCTAGTTGCCATGCTCTCTGTACTGGAGGACTTCGGGTGCACACTGCATCGCCTGTTCACCGCCGGTGCCGGTCTTCCCTTGAATTCCAAGATGGGACCAGATTCTTGACTAACCACACCACGCTGTCTGCTACCTACGTCCAATGCAGGCAGTTCCTCCTTCTCTGATCTGCCCGGCCTGCCTTTGAATTCTAAAATGGGCTGTTCTCCTTTCTCCGCATCATTTGGCCTGCCCTTGAATTCCAGAATTGGACCTCCTCCTTCAACAAACATACTCCGAGGTCTTCCTTTAAACTCTGGCACGCTTTCCTCCTGGTGTATCATGCTTCTGGGTCGGCCCTTAAACTCCATAATACTCCCTTTTCGATTGTCAGGTAGTTCCCGAGCTCGCAGGGACTTCACTGGAAGGCGCATGTCTTTGAGTCGCGGGTGGGCGGGGCTCGTTGACGGCAAGTTCGGAGCACTAAGGATACTGTTCATGGCCAGAATGTCTTTGTTGTTACCGTGAAACTTCGCTGGCAAAGGGGCTGTGGATGGCGGGGAAGGGGAGTACCCTCTGAGAGGGAGAGGAGGCGAGGGTACAGGCTTGTCTTCCTCGGGATCGCCGATCTCCAGACCGCCAAGATCCTGCGATAATGTTGTGGTACTGCTCGCTGAATCAGACTGTAGCAAGCGGCCAGGGATCGCCTTGGGACGTTCCTTCACCAATTTGCCTCGCACAAGCGTCACTTTACGCCTATCCTTGGGGGTGAAGATCCCCATACTGATAGTTGGGTCTTGAGAAGACGTAGCGCGAACTGGTCTCGCTAAACTGCTACCAGTGTTTGTCGACGACGAGACTTTGCTACTTGCAAACATTTGAAGGACCGGATGATTTGTAACACGATCAACGTCATCCAAGTCGTCGTCCGAGCGACTCACTTTACAATCGAAGGCTGTCTCGTACAGATGGCGTCGACGCCCACTCATATCGTATTCGTCCTCTCCTTCTGGGACGTCGTAATCCACAGGAGGGTCCTCTACAGGCGCTCTTCTGCCATAATGTTGATGATACTGGTCGTGGTGGTGATGGCGATGGTGATGGTGATACCTGGGGTCGTGGTCTACCACGTCGTCGTCGTCGTCGTCATCATCGAGGCAGTGGCCAGAACCAGCGCAGGCGCAGACTGACGGCAGCTCCGGGGGGGCTCTCAGTTGCCGGTGGGGGGGCATGAGGATTGTGTCCCACTCCAGCAGGCAGGCAGCCAACAAAGACCCGGCGCTCCCGACAGCATGCTGACTGCGACTGTACGGGCTGATCAGGGACGATACGGAAGATCTCCCGTCGCCATGCAGAGAGTTCCTGTTGAAAAGCAGAGCAGTGGCCGGCGTGGCTAAACCAGCGCTTTGCCTCGGTTGGGACTGTTGCTGGCGCTCGGAGTAGTGACGGCGAAGAACTTGCGGCTCGTTGTCGTCACGAAATAGGTCGCCGTAATAGTAGGGAGACGGGTTCCTCCGTGTCGTGGTAACGGGGGCAGCTGCCGCCAGATGCAGCGTCAGCTGATAATCGTCAGCCTCTCCTTCCCGATCCCGTTCTAAATAGTTGACGACCTGTTTTTGTTCTTCAGAATCACCGACACGAATTACCGTCACGCAGTCTCCGGTTACTTCGACACCGGGAGAAGCATGGTTGTCCTCAGGCAGACCAACATCTTCGTACACTCCGTCGCCCTCTTCCTCGGAAGTTTTGGCTTCAGAAGATCCGTCTGTAACAGACACAGACAAAGAGGATTGAGATGTCAGATTACGCTCAGTGCCACGAATTAAATCATGTAAAAGGCACGTCTACATTGACCTGATAGTTTAGTCAACACTGAAATGCAGTTAACAGAGAAACAGGAAATTTGTACGAAATTTGAGGTGTGAAAATGTCCATGATGGTCTTCTGTGTGGAGGCAGCACGTTCCTTGGTATATAAACCGTCGAGTCCACAACGCAGACAGGTAATTTACATACGTACATATTAAATAGGCCACGGTCTATGTTACGCATGACTCTCTACGTTCTCAGTGACAACGCTAGATGTCAGGACGTTCTACTTTACACGTGACGCTACAAGTACGTAGCTCCCAGGAGAACTTGTGGAGTCATCAGAGATTTGAAATGGATAACAGAGAGGATCGGGGGGGGGGGGGGGCAATAGAACCCATCCCCCATTGTTTCGTATTCAGGCCTCGGAGACAGAATATTCTGATTGGGGGTTATTCGTGATTTAACCTCACTCCCTCCAGAGAAATCTGAGTACAGATCCTTAAATTTGGCCACGACCGGTTCCATCCATATCCCTACCAATTTATTATTATTCATTATCATCCGCGCTATGTAATCTGAGCTACCGACAGCGTTGTTAAATAAACAACATCGAAAGAAATTGACTACAATAACACAATCCACAACCGGCATGAGTGTGGCCTCTCGACGTAGAAATCGGAACTACGGGCTTCGGAAAACTCACGCCGGTCCACATCGCCGTTTAAACGAAGCAATGAAAATTCCAGGGCAAATATGAACCCCCTACGTCTTAGGGGTGGAAATTCGAAGAGACGAGAACAGACGCACGAGAATGGTTTCGTGCAACGAGCTGGAAATCCTCGCGCGCACAGAAATATTCCTAGACGGAACGAGAGACGAGGTTGAAACCTGGATAGAATTCCTGCCAACCCTAAACCAGGGCTGTCACATCAGCACGAGCACAAGGGCAGGCAATTCGAGGGAGC